CCGGGACGCTCCTGGGGCTGCGCCCGCCGCCGCCGCCCAGCTCCCCAGCTCCGGCTGTAGCAACGCGGCCGCACCTCCCACCCGCTAACATCCCGGGCTCCCATTGGCCGCCTCTGGGGGCGGGGCTCCAGAGGGGCCGGGCCTGGGAGGCGCTCGGCTCGCAGCCTCCGCCGCTCCGCTTCCCGGCTGCCAGCGCCCGGGCGATCGCGCTGTAAACCTCACCCCTTCGAGGGCCTGCGGCCGCCCCCCTGCGCCTTTGTTCCGCTGCAGCCCTGCTGCCTGCGCAGCGTCTGCTCCTGTGCAGGCGACCTCGGCACCGCGTGGGCCCCCACGGCCGGTCTCTCAAGCAGTCCCGTAGTTCTGAGTTCCCCGCCGCCCCTCTCTGAGGCCTGTTTCAGCAACAAACCAGACACAGGTCCTGCATGCGGCCCGCTCTCCATTTTCCGCCCTCTGGCCACATGGCTTGACCTGAGAGCATTCCCTGGACGGTATCTCATCCACCTTTCTGAATTAAGCCACCTTTCCCCCGGATATGGCACTTTCTGTCCGGGAAGCGGAACTGGGGTTGTAGGGAGCGCTCGAAAACAGTTTCCTCACCGGCGTGTCCTCTCGGCCCACCCTAGCTCTCCACTCTACCGCCCTTGGGCTCAGGTAGCCTGCTGGCCTCCCCTCTAAGGAGGTAACATCACACTCAGTTAAAGGGAGAACTGACCTACACGTGGCCCAGTGAGGCCTGTTGCTGTGGGTCAGAATCAATTGGGAATAAAGCTGTCGACGCCGAGGACTGTATCTGCCGAGACAGACTCCACGTGGTTAACTGGGCCCAATCAGAACAGCAGCACCTGGCAGACACTGTTTGCAGAGGACTCTCGGGCAGGCTTCCCGGTGGGGAAAAGCCGCGTCTTGAAGCCCAGCTGCGCGGAGGGTTTCTCATATTTGCATCTTCACCCGCCAGAGCGGCTCCATAAAGACCGATCTGGGTGCGCAGTTCTGACCAATCAGGACAGTGCTGTCTGGACCAATCAAGCTGCAAATATGGATTCCTCATTTGCATAAAAGTGGGCCAATCAGGGACCAGGGCGGGCGCTATTTCTTTATAAGAGCCTCGGGTGTGCAGCTGGGAGTTCAGTTTCCCCGGCTGTTGCTTGGAGGCTGTTTGTCCAGTTTGCAAACTGTTCATCAAAAAGGAGACTAAAGCCGCTCCTTTTCCTGCGCGTCAGACTGGGAACCCCTGTTGGCGTTGGCCTGGTGGCGGCAGCCTTTCGTTGACAAAGGTAACTTCAAAACTAGCTGGAACCTTTGCTGAACAGTTGAATACATCTCACCAGAACTACATTTCTTTGAAAATTGGATGTGGCTGTGATAAACCATATTGCTTGTTAACTTTAGTATAGTTACCGTCAAGTTATCAGTTTTAATATTTCCATAACAAACCCTACGTTGATTTTTGTCCTTAACCTGTTCAGTTGTAAACTCCTGACGTGTCCAGCCTGGTTGGCTGTGGGACGTATCTTGCAAACGGTACGTATCGTGCTGCAGCCTTTAGGAAGCAGGAGCCGGGTCCTGCGCGCCGAGAAAGTACTGTAAACACGCACTTGAGGGGCGCAGCAGCTCTCCCTGGGGGCGCTCCAGGTGCGTTTGCGTGTGGTCGGTCGACCTCCTGCGCGCGGTCGGACCTGGAAAACCGCAGGCGCTCTGCCTGGACTCCTGCCCTTCCCCGGTCCTGCTCCCCTGAGGTCCGAGATGCTCCCTCCACGTGGCCAAACCGCAGTCGCTTGCCACCGCACCCCCCCATGAGTGTGGAAAGGCCCTCTTTTCTCCCTGCTGCTAAGACACAGTTAGAATTGGAATAGTGGTAACTGTAAAAAGAGCACTAAGGAAGAAAACACACAGAAGAAAAGCCAAAAATAAAGACAATTTAAGAAGTTCTTGAACTGAAGGCCACAGAGTTTGAGTTGGCTGATTCACACCTTATTGAGCGTAAAAGCTACAACAACAAAATCAACTGTGATAACAATTTTAAAAATCACGTTAGGCATGTTTTAGGTATTTTTCCTGTATTTATTTAATCTTAAAAACAGTCCTACAAACAGATACAGTAAACTCTTGATTTTGCGGACCTCGATTTAACGGACTTTGGATTTAATAGGCGAAATCTCGGGTTCGTATGTCATATGTGAAAATTAACACCTTGTTAATTTTAAAATGCTTTTAACTAAGATTTGCTTATAATTAACAGTGTTTTTTGTTATTAATTCACTAATATTTTTAAGTTGTTTGCCAATAGGCCATATGTTGAAAACAGCACTAGTAATTTTTCCAACATAAATATTACATATCTACAACGATAGTCTATATATTTAAATCCAAAAGTCACCATTCTTAAATAATATTCTGCAAATGATTAGCACATGATCACACCAAATCCTGCTATAATTGGTTTTCTTGTCACGTGGCAGAACTTTCTGCAGCAGTTTTAACACGTGCAGGCTCACGTTCTCACGTGCACTAAGCTGTGCCCCAGCCACGTGTATTGTCAATTGGTGACACGTGAGTGCATGTATTGACTAGACCTATTCAGTATAAATTTAAAATTACTGTAATACATATAGAAACCTTTTTGGTGAAATTAAACTTTTCATACATACTTAATATTAATTACACAAATGTGTCTACATAAGTGAAAACAGGTAAACTAACTTGTCAATTTTTTAACATACGCATTCGGAAAACCTACTTTATTATATAACAGACTTTTGGTTTTAACGACACCCCCTCACCTGAATTAGTCTATTATATAGAGGTTTTACTGTACTATAATTTTCATGTTTTAGAATTAAAGCCTTCATTTTTAGATGTCTCAGAGAGATTACATTTTTTTTCGCCAATATTTATACTACTAGCGAATGGTAGCTTGGATTTAAACTCTGGTGTGACTGATCCTACCTTATGACGATATCATGGGATTCCTTACCTCCTTCCTCACCTTGCCTTCTGGCTGCCTCCAAGGTAAAGCCAGAAGTTCAGATATGCCATTTAAGGAATACTTGGGTAGTCATAACTACTGTGAATCTTAATTCTCTAAACCGTGTCTGCTAATTTCCTCTGCAGGGATTGGGCTCTCAGCACTTTTATGCTATAGCAACCCTGGCTCCTGCACCTTTTCTCTGGTCCTGACCCTTGGGTGAAGAAGACAAAAATCTTATATGCCATCCTAAATTTCTTCCTCTGCCTCCTACATTTGTGGTCTGAGAGTCTCTTCGGTCTTGGTGCTTTCTTCTGATTTTACCTCCTCTCTGATTCATTCCATTTTTTCTGATGTATTCATTCTACAAATACTTGCTGTGTACCAACAATATTTCAGGCCCCTTCCATTACTAGCCAGTTATTAAATTGAAGGAAGCTCAGTTTCTTATGTTCCTAAGCTCTTATCTGTTCATAATTTTTTAGCTGCCAAGTTATCGTTAACTGTTGATAACATTCATAGATGAATATGTATTAGAGATCTTTCCACCTCCTTATGCAAAACCCAACAAAACACAAAGGTTCAGAGATACTTACTGACTCAATCCAGATCCCAAGACTAGCAAGTAGTTGAAATAGATATTTTACCTTTTTTTATGACATCATATCCCAGGTTCTTCCCACTTTGCATTCCTTTCCATTCAATCACCATTCCCTGGAGCCAATCCACATCTTTTCTGCACCTTCCAAAGTGCTGAGCAAGCTACATATATCTTCTGTTTCAAAGCTCCTGCCT